GACACGAAACTGGAGAAGAACGAATTAATAGCTGACTTGACGTCTCTGTCATTTTCAATGATAAAGATTTTTATTTGTTAGGAAGTTTGACATTGATTAAAAAAAATATATATATATATATGTAATAATCATCTTTGAGGTAATAGGTTAGTCCTTCATTTATCACTGAATCGTCAAAGCAGTACGAGTGTTATCAAGATTATTAACAAAAACACGTCTTTCCTGAATTTTTCCTCTGTTCAGTTTTCCTTGTCAATTTCTTCGCAATAAAACGGACACATGGAAAGAAGTCTACCTGACTGTCCACCAAAATTTTCATCGAGCAAAGATACAGTTTTAGAATTTCTTTTGGGTTCTGAGTTTTTGTCGCGTCGTTTATTGGTCAGATCGTCGTGTGTTTTCGGATAGAAATTACTAAAAAGTAATAAATTTATTATTCGTGTTGCATTTACTGGGTTGTATTTACGTATACTTGAAACTGAGAAAATATTGCAACTTTGGGACAAAGAAATTCCGTCGTTCCAGCGCAAGAGGTGAAGAAACTCGTTGAAATTTTTATTCTTCACAGAACGAAACAAAGCTGCTCTATCCAAGAACATCCACTTCGCATCGACCCGCAGCAAAACAGAAACATGGAAATTCGAGGCCGAGTGAGTGGTATCTTCGTTGCCGCAGAAGCACGGGGAACGCGCGTGACAATCGGCTAACGTTAATCGAAGGCTATTAGTCCCGGGATGATCGATAGCCCAGCGCTCGAGATCAGGCGAAATCGTCACCGTGAGACAATGACTGGAGGCGAACGATAATTGGCCGATAAAGTGATAAACCCGGCCGGAGGTTACATTGTGAGCACGCCACCGTGTCAGAGATATGCAAATGATTATTAATTATTAGCGCATTGATCGTCCGTGTTGTCGACAAGTCGGCATCGGCATCCGCATCTCGATGCTCCTGCGTGCGTGAACTGCGCGCGTGTGACCGATACGCCGCGCGATAAAGTTTAATTAAGGAACCGCATTAACGCGGACAGTAGGCAACGAGATGGCAAGCACCATGGCTGAGTGAGCGGTTTAGCAAGCAGGTGTACGGATAATTATACCTTTTCCTCCGTGTATCGTCGTACGGTAATGATTAAACAAAACTGACGAACGCGCGTTTCGCCCTGGCGGCCCTCTCGTCCCTCTAGTTTCGTGAATTTTTAATTTGCCCCAACGATGCACCGTGCGCCCGCCAAATTGACGTTGTTAATGCGCCCGGGTCTGCCGAGCTTCTTTCGCGGGCTTACTGGCGCGCCGATGATAATTACGCTTGGTTAACCGGTCTCGACTCGCCATCCAGGAATGCGTAATCGTTCGTCAGTTTGGGAGGGCTCAGCACCGCTCCTTTCCTGCTTCGAGCCAGACCGATTAATTTAACAACTTGCGCTGGAACGACGCACGTCGAGAATTTCTTCTCCCAAATTGCAACATTTTCTCAATTTTAAGTATATTGAATGTGACCCAGGCGAAACAGATGATAAGTTTGTTACTTCTTAATCATTTCTATCCAGCGATATCATACCGGCGAGTCCAAAAGGAAAAGAAAGCGACAAATTGTTGTATGTTCGGTCACTCGTTATGGTCCGCGAACAGTGCAGCAAGGGGTTAGAAGAAGAACAGCGCGTGAACCAAATGTTCCTCTCGTACTGATTATAAGCGGGATTACTATCGCAACGACTAATAATCGAAACTAACCTGTTTCATACTCCTGATGTAATATCAATTGTCAAATGTAATAACAGTGCAATATTAAATTAGTGTTAAATTAATTTGCGCAATTAATTTATCTGTGATAAATAACCTCGATTCAATTCTAACTTATCTGTAACAAACAACCTCGAATTTAATTTCAAATACGAATTAAAAAATTTAAAATACGAGGTATTCAAATTTAATTTAACCTCTTGCGCTGAAATGTTTCGTCCCAAATTGCAACATTTTCTCAGTTTTAAGTATATTTAAGTGTAAAACAAATGACAAGTTTATTACTTCTTAATCATTTCTATCCAGCGAGTATCCTCATACCGGCGAGTCCAAAAGGAAAAGAAAGCGACAAATTGTTGTATGTTCGGTCACTCGTTATGGTCCGCGAACAGTGCAGCAAGGGGTTAGAAGAAGAACAGCGCGTGAATCAAATGTTCCTCTCGTACTGATTATAAGCGGGATTACTATCGCAACGACTAACCTGTTTCATACTCCTGATGTAATATCAATTGTCAAATGTAATATCAGTGCAATATTAAATTAGTGTTAAATTAATTTGCGCAATTAATTTATCTGTGATAAATAACCTCGATTCAATTCTAACTTATCTGTAACAAACAACCTCGAATTTAATTTCAAATACGAATTAAAAAATTTAAAATACGAGGTATTCAAATTTAATTTAACCTCTTGCGCTGAAATGTTTCGTCCCAAATTGCAACATTTTCTCAGTTTTAAGTATATTTAAGTGTAAAACAAACGACAAGTTTATTACTTCTTGATAATTTCTATCCAACGATATCACACCGACGAGTCCAAAAGGAAAAGAAAGCGACGAATTATTGTACACGGTTCGGTCACTCGTTATGGTCCGCGCAACCAGTTGCCAGCGCAAGTGGTTAATCGTTGAGTTTCCGAAGTCGAGTCGTTAAAGTATTTTCAAAATCTGGGATCTGAGTGTTTACGACATCTTTCAGTATAAACATCAGAGTACAAAAATTATCTTTGTCAAGATTTTACACACAAATTTTAAAATGAAAACCAAATACCAATTTCACTGAACTTGTATGTTCAAGGGTGTTGCGTATTTCAGAGACTGTAGGACTTTCACTATCGCGAGACACGTGACGGTGAGATCGTTCTCGAGGAAAATGCGAAATGAATTCCAAACGAGCGTCGTCGATTCGACGCGGTTCTCCAGCCAGTCTGTCGCGCGTTTTACACGCTTCTTCTCTCTCTTTCTCTCTCTCTCTCTCTCTCTCTCTCTCTCTCTCTCTCTCTCTCTTTCTGCCTGCCTGCCTGTTTCACCGGACGTTGCACGCGCGCGTTTGCCCGGCATCATCGCTCGCGCAACATCGGTCTATTGACTCATTGCACGAGGAACGTCCGCCACGAAGATTTCTCAGGCCAGATTACGACAAGAACATCGTTAGTCGTTTCGCTACACGGGCCGCGATTTACTCGCGACAGGCATCGACGTACGCGCACCGCGCTTTTTACGAGCTCGGCGTTTTCTTCTTCTTCTTCCCCGTTCCTCGGGCTTCTTGCCCGCCAACTGCAAGCGGCAGATTTATTCAAACTGCTCTTCATCCATAGATGCATTAAATCGCGATCCTACTCTTAACGACGTCTCCTCCCCTCGGCCGGAGTCAGAGACCGAATCGGTATTACGTATACCGGTAAAACGCCGGTTTTTACTATTCGATTACGTTTGATGAAACCGAAATGGTGCGAATATTACTGGTATGATACTATCAAAACGATGTTAAGTTGGTACATGTATTTCGGTATAATACCGGTAAATAAAATATTAATATATTAGAAAAGGAGGAGACAATGATTAAATGTTTTCACAAAGCTGTCGATAGTAAATTTGATGACGCTTATACACGTATCCTTTGTTATTTCTAATACTAATTCGTCGTTGTATCTCCGTACAATATCAGTCACGATACTCTTACTTCATTTTAAAAGATGATCGATTTGTCGATACGTTTTTCCTTTTTCTCGGGGACATTGTCCTACGTCGATAAATCGAAAGAGGAGTTGAAACAACGATTAATCGTAGAATGGAAGAATATTCCGCTAAATTACTTAAAAGAAATTGGAACTGGAAATATGCCTAAGCATCTGCGATATATTATTGAAGTTAAGGGCTACCTAACAAAATATTAATTATTGTTTACGTTAACAATTTTCAGGTTCAAATATTGTAGTTCTTCAAATGTCCGAATACTTTTGCCACGCTACATTTCGACACAGTTCAGTTTATTGTTTGATATTAAGAAAAGTATGTGCAATAAATCAATAAAATTTATGTTACTATAAATTATAATAAATGTTCTAATATAATATTAAAAAATTAATCCAAATTGACTATTATAAACAATCGAAATCCACAACAAAATTTTGAATAGCATGATGTCCGAATATTAGTAAGAGTCACTGTAGAAAATGAAAAATGTGTTTCCGTCAGTACCGGTATATATTTCGGTATTTTTACCATTGTGGACCTCAAATACCGATAATGTACGTATGAAAATACCGGTATGACCGTCTTATATCGGTATTAAAACCGATTTCCCAAATAGCGGTTATGTTACGATAATGTGGGAGCAAATACCGGTATAATACCTAAACCTCAAAATATTTCGGTTTCAGTCTCTGGGTATAATACCTAAACCTCAAAATATTTCGGTCTCTGGCCGGAATGGATATCCACTTTCGCTTTTTCCGCGAGTGTATATGCCCGCCATTATATTTATATTATATTTTTAGATTATATTTATATTATATTTTTATATTATATTTATATTATATTTATATTATATTTTTATATTATATTCGAAAAATAAAAAATAAAAAAAAAAAGGCAGAGAATTCTCCGACAAATCTTCTTTCGCTTGTAAGCAAATAAGCGTTGCAAGTTGTAAAATAAAAGAATCCCGAAGAAAGGCTGACGTGTCTTGGAAGTTCGTCTCCTCCGATCGTGCACGATGCCCGCGATGTGAAATCGAAAACGTTTCGATGCATGTTTTATGCGCTGGGATCGGGTCAGCCACGAGGGGATTCGCCTTTAAATAGAGCTCGCCGGTGTTCTTTATGAAAATAGCCCACGGACAATGCGCCGACGTTTCGAAATGACTAACAGCCGCCGCGTATACTCGTACGACAATAATTGCGGCAATTTAACAGACACGGAATACACGGGACGATCGTGACCGAGGAGTCGGGTAAAAATGTTTGGAGAAAACATACCTTGGGGTCGAAGTTGAAGACCTGTTCGGGCCTTAGCGGACACTCGAGGCCGCATTTGCAGGTTCCCACTGTTGTCAGGTACTCCTTCAGCTGATCCAGCGAACCCAGCGCTGTGCTGCTCGGACTGCAACAAACACAAAACGAAAAGTTAGTTTCACACACACATGCACGCGCGCACCGGGCGATAGCGTGCCATCGAGGGCAAACGAACGTACACGAGTCGTCTTTTAATAAAAAAATAATAATAATAATAAAAGAGAAAAAAATAGCCTTTACATCGTGCACGAAGATTTTTACGAGCGGCTGCACGTGTCCTACAGGGTGTCCCAAATTTAAATTTCGAAATCTTCATGGGCACGCAGCCGACTGATAAACTAATTGTAAGAGAAATGTAGTTTCCTCCATTTTGGAGGAAATCGCGAAAGAAAGAAAGTAACAAAAGTAAATTTTACTCATTCACTTTTACTTGTTCATATCGTTATCTGTTTTACCATATATTTAATAAAGATACTGTTCAAAGTGCTACACTTTCGCAATGATGCAAGCATCGACCATTCTGATTGCAATTAAACATTTTCATGCATCGAATGATTTTACTGCATACGTAAAAAGAAAATCAGAAATTTACTTGTTAACATTCGTTAAGTACAGTAACCAGTTTCGCTTATATACTTGCATATTTTTGCCAACGCAACGAATTAAATACTGAAATAAAATGAGCTCTGAAACGAAAAAATCTTTAAAGGACTTTTTTTCGTTTTTTTTGATACTTAAATTCGGGACACCTTGTATAATATAATATTTAATTCGCTGCGTTCGTTACATACATACATTGGTTATTGTACCGAACGAGCGAAATAAATCTCTGCTCCGATTCGATTTACCTGGTAAAAATATAAATTTGCATAAGCAGTTGCAATGTAATTACAATTAATCGCGACAGGCTTATCTTCTCGCGGATCGGTCCGGTGTCATTTATACGACTTTCTCCCCGTGGAAACCAGTTTAACTCGATAGAAACCATTAATTCGCTGTTCTATTGGTTCGAAGATTGAATTTGTCGCAATATTGACACCACGGCGAATGGATCGCACGATTTGTATGTACTGGGTGTTTCCGAAATCGTGAGACAACAGGACTCTATGTGAAAAATATAAGTCGAAAGAATGGAATAAATTTCTTCTTATTGTTTATTTGAGGCTTCGTTAAAGTCGAGAAAATTGAGTTTGAAAATTTATAAATTCTAAACTAAATATTTGAACTTAATTATATTGATTTATATCAATTAATTATTTCAATTATTAATTATAATGTGTCAATTATTTAATATACAATGCTGGAATTTATTAATTCTAAACTAAATAATATAATTTGAATATAATTTTAAACGTGACAGAAAAGAACAATTAATAAGATATTCCATATTCAAAATAAAAAAAACTAGTGGAATAAAATCTACTAAGAAAAAAAAAGTAGAATAAAATTTTGTTCATTTGCAGCATCATTTTTAAGAAAATAAACTGAACACATTTCTTTAGAAATTGTCTCGTATATACGTATTTGATAAATTTTCAAACTCCTGCTAAACAATTTTATTCCACGTTTCTTATTTATTTTCGCACGTGGAATAATCTCTTACTAATTAATATTTTCTGTCGTTCAAGCATGCCTGACAAAATTTCAAAAAACGATTTTCTCGAAAACGAAGCGTCTGTTTCTCGCAAAAAAGTTTCGTCTCACACTTCTTACTTATTTTCGCACGTGGAAGAATCTCTTACTTTCGCTTATTATTTTCTGTCGTGTCTAGGATTAATTAAATTTAAGCATACCTGACAAAATTTCACTCCTCCCTTTCGACTTGTTTTTAAATATAAAATCATATATATTAGCTCCGATTTCAGAACGATTCAAAATGTGCACGTAAAGCAGTGGAAATGAAAAATCCGTTTCGAGGAACCAGGGGGGAGGGTCAATGACACTCGAACAATTATCGCAAATTGCCGTTCAAACACTTTCGTTGCTTATTACAAGCGAAGTTAAACGAGAGGAGAGAAACACTCCGGCTCGAAAATTGAAACGTCTCTCATCTTACTTTTTGCCCGCGCGATGCTTCCCTCGCTCCGAACGTTTGGGAAGGAAAACGAACGAGCGATATCAAAGATAAATTAACCAACTCGTAAAGAAGCTGTAGCGGCGAACGAGGGAATGGATGTTCCTCGAGGGGAGCGGCAAATTGGCGTTTCATAATTTCGCCGGCTGCGTCGATGAGCTGGAAGGAGACGGTTTATTACCTACAGACATCGCTTGTTTGGCGAGACCGGGCCGAGTAATGGTTCGAGGACGTTTGCCGAGCGGGCAACGAACAACACCGGAGAGGGGTGTTATCCTCGCCGATAATTCTAACTGGCCCCAGCGAAATGAGAATGGTTATCGATGCTGGCGAAGAGGAGAGACCGAGTTATTGCACGTCGCTTGGATTGCTGGCAAATTTTCTGGAAACGTTCTAGTGATTTACGACTCACGACTGCACAGGCGTGCATACAAACTTCGCGCTTCGAATTAAGATCCTTCTTCCAGATTCTATTCACCTTCCTGAAAATCAAATTCACCCTGTTTGCAGACTTCAAACTTCAAGTCTTTTGCTTTTCTGATCGAATTTATCATCTTGTGGGTGACTCGAAAAAACTAGTAGTACTAATACTCTTCAATGACGAGCCTGATTGAACAAGTTTCTTTCTAAAATTGAATCTTGTACAAGAAATATGTTGACCTCCTTCAAACCATTTAATGGATGTTATCACCTTGTGGGCGACTCAAAAGTAAAGTAGTATTTCGTTATTATTTTCCACGCAAGAAATATTTTGATTCTTCTCAAACTATGAACATTTAGTGGATTTTAATAATTCACCAAACGATAATAATAGTTATTCTATTGCAACTAACACACCCAACAGACTATCATAATTGTTACATGAATGTGTATACAAAACTGTGCGTTGTAGATCTAAATCTACACATGTGTAAGTATAAAAATAATTATAATTATAATCAAATAAATTTATTTATTATATAAATGAAAAAATATAATTAATTAATAAATATTTTTTATATAATATAAAATATTCAATTATTTTTATTTTTTAATTATATTTTTAAATTAATATTAATATATATATATATAACTAATTAAATAAAAATATAAATTTATTAGATTTAATAATTAATTTATCAAATAAATATATTCAATAATAAAAAGATTAAAATTAAAATATAAATATATATATCATAATTAAAATAATAAATAAATAAAAATATAATTTTAATATATTTTTATTTCAAAAAGTTAATAAAAATTTTAAATTTTTATTTAAATTTTTCAAAAAATAGCTAAAAAAAATAATTTTGGGAATTATAGATAATTTAATTAAAAATTTCTCTTCAAGTTATATAGTTTAATAAAACATTAATTTTGTAAATTAAAATTTAATTTATATTATATAACTAATATATTTATATAATTAAAGAATTAATTATTTTTTTTAGCACCGAACAAGTATTTAATTTATTATTTTATATTATTGTTATTACATACAATTGCGATACAATTTATTAACAATAATAACTTTGCATCGGGTTTCATTGCAATGGCCTGAGAAAAAAAATTCGTAGAAAAACTTGATTAGGCAAGGGGGTGAATTTGATCTGCGAAAGGGTTAAATCTGTAGAGTAATAATTCTCTAGAGTAAATAATCTCAGAGTAAATAATTCTCTATATAAATCTTCATATCTATCTACGTTTGTCTCGAGTGAAAATTCGATAAATACAATCCGAGAAAGGCCGCGCAAAACGTTTGGCATTAACGGCGGTGAAAGGTCTATTGGCGTTTCACGTTGGTAACATCGTTCGGCCGACAATTTGCGCGATTAACGCGTTCAATCTGGCGGCGGCGCAATGCGGCGCGGCGTTAAGCATCGTTGCATTTTTACCTCGTTAGCATTTTCATTTGGCACGGTGCACAAGCCCGGCGAGTAATTGAAATTCCGCAATTAATCTGGAAACACGGGCGTCATAACCGTGGAGAGTACCAAAGTCTGGCCTCGCGTCACGCCGAAAGGAAAGACGGTTTATCACCTATCGCTCTCTGATGTCGAAACCCCGACAGCGGTGCTTTGCAAGCAACTAATTCGACGAAGGGATCTTCGCCGGTGGTTCGCCGGTCGGATCAACGAGCTGAAACGGAGGCAGGGTCGCCCGCTTGTATATTGATTACCTTGCAGAGGGACAGAGAGGAGACTTTGTTTCGGGGTACTTTGCAGCTTCCTAAACTAATAACCTCGGGCGCTTCATCCCCGGCATTATAACCCCCCTCCCCCCCTCGAGAGGGGAGAAGGGGAAAGGCTCGCCTTTCCCGTCCGATCCCATAGCTGCTCCGTAGGAATCCTCCTGGCAATTATTTCTCGTGACAACAAGACGAATTCGCGCACCCACGTTCGCGCTAATTTGCGCCGGATTCGATTTGTTCGCCCGATGCTCTCGGCCCACCTACCCTTCGCTCTCCTCTCTTTGTCACGCCCGCCATGAATTATGAAACGCGCACACAAACATATTTTCTGCCCCCGCCGCGAGTTACTCGGGGAGGAAGTTGGCTCGAATGGAATTCGCATGGAATTCTTCGACGAACGACGTGATTAATTATCGCAGCGAAAGATTTCAAAGGTTCGCAACTGAGATTAGGGGGTTGGGATTGTACAAAAAACGTTGAAATTGCTACGCGAAGCTTCCTCGTTGTCATCAGTTTTGTCGATGCGGTAATCGAGAGCGTGGCTGCTGATCAACTACGAAAATTCTCCGAGTAATTACTTTTCCGTCTCCGGTAAGACAAATTTACCATCTACTCGGGCTGTTAATTTACCTCGAGGATTGAATTTGTCAAGCAGTACAGGGGGCCACCCACCCCCAGCTTGAATTTAACCGCTTCATAATTTCGTTTACTTTGCCAAGGTGGTTCGAAGATTTTACCAATTTTATCGACGTTGGAATATTTTTAATAAACATTGTACGCGAGAAAGGAGCTGTTATTTTCCAACGCACACGTACGTTTTCGTATCGCAAATCTGGCCGAGAACGGTGCCAGGCTTGCCAGATTCGCAGAGGCAAAGCTTCTTCTCCACGCCACCACCCTCTTATCCCGGATTCGAGACGCAAAATCCTCGGCTGTTGATGTATCAACATCCGCGGAACCATAGAGACGCGTCCTGGAATACGGACTGCCGCGGGAAATAAGAACTCGAGGGTGGTTCTCCACGTATGGTGGCCGCATAACCACCCTCGCTCGAGATATCGCCGAGGGAAAATTCGTACCCTCGCGGAGATTACGTCGTAACATTTTCATGGAGAAAAGTGACACCGAAGGGGACGTATATTTTTCTACGCGACGATATCTCGCAAAAACCGCACGCAAGACGAAACAATTAAGCAACTACCGTTCGAAAGCATTATTCGTGAAAAGACGAGAATCTTTCCTGGTTTTCGAAGCGAGCACCCCCTCCCCCCTCCCCCCATGGAAACCGATGACTTATTTCCCTGCAAAGCCACGACAACGGACTCAACAACGCAGCTGCGATTCCATAAATAAGGGTTACGAGGAGGGGGTGGAGGCCTCCACCCGTTCTCAGTTGGCGCGCAAAGTGCGTCGAGACATGTTGCACGGTGTAAAGAGAGGCACGGTGGATGAATTATATCGGTGGGAGAGGCTGGCTAAGCTGCTTGTCGTCGTAAAGCGAATTCCGCCGCCGACGAAACCGACGTCAACTTTTACGACCAACCCCTACCCCTCGACGCGGGAACCTTGTCGAATCGAGCAATTATTCTTGGCCACCGGGCTGCGCTGCACCTGTTGTTTGCGACTACTCTTTCCGCAGGAAACGCTTCCTATTTTTGAAGGTTTCGCTCATTGTGATCGCAAGAGGTACTTGCGAGACGGCAAAGAGAGAAAGCTGAATGAGAACAATAATGCGAGCGATCTCTCATTTAGGTAGCTTTCGTTTTTTTTAATCCTCGCCTGTTTTGCGTCTTATTTATAATAATACAGGTAAATAAAAAAAAAAAGCAGAGAAATGTTAACGCGCAAGTTTTACGTGTTTTCATTTAGGAATGGCTGTAGTTTGAAATATACAACAGCCTGAGATATTTAATGTTTCACGTTGGTGGAAAGATTCGTCTTCAGTTCAATTTACTAGTTTTCGAATTTTTAATTTCAATTCTTCAATCTTTTTTTAATTTCTTGATACTAAAAAGAAAAAAAAAAAAAAGTAACGCTAGTCAACGTGTTAAGCCAGCTCGTTTTCTTCCACGCTTTATTTCAATTGCAATTAGAATCATTCGCTATTTTGAACAAAAATTCCCACCTTGATACCGCAAGGGCTACAGTTGCAAAAAAACATACGAAATTAAAAAAAATTCAAGAATTGAAATTAAAAATTCGAAAACTAGTAGATTGAATTAAGACAAATTTTTTATGCATTGAAAAATTTAATGTGTCACGGTGTGATATATTATGTGTAAAGATCTTCGATCAAAACCGCTTATATCGAAACTTTGCTGGATTGTGCTATTAAAAATAGAAACAGACGACACGCGCGGAATGTGATGAAAACGGTTTTTTATATATTCAGATCGCAATATCCTTTGACACGCATGCTGTTGACATGAACGGTCAGATTCCCATAACCCTCGAGACATGTCCGTGCGTGTATCTGAGATTGAGAATGCCGTTGGCGCGTGGACTGTACTTACCTACGATCCACGAACAGTTTACTCTTCACACAGAGACTTCTCCGTGGCAATATACAAAATAGATCCATTCAAGCGAGTCTATTCCATCTATGAAATATCTTTTCGAATCGCGACGATGTGAAAAATATTTTTTGCCTGAACGTGAATGGTACATCGAAAGGTCTATAAAACTGGTAAGAATATTTTTCCCATGGTCATTCTTTTTTGGAGTTTTCAATTTATCGGTCATCAATGTCATTTCAACTTTTTTTCCCCAGCTACACGATGTAATAAAAAAATACATAGTTGTATAAAAAAAAAAAAATTAATTAAAAACATAACCTCGAAAAAAAAAAATTCTAGCCAGAGAGGTTATTGACCTTTCGATACCATTCATGCTAGACAAAAAATATTTTCCGCGTCATTCGAAAAATATTTTTTGGACAATTTGAAGATATTTAAGTGGCCTCGCATAAATGGACCGTTTTGTATACCACGCGCACGCGTCAAAATGCCTCAGCTCGCGGTTATTTCTTCCACAACATGGCAACAACTCATGACTCGAAGCTCGATCACGTTACATCGGCGTGCCGGAGACGACAAAATCTTCTTAGATGTTTCCAAGTTACACGAATTTGGCGGATGACGATCGAGGTTTTGCGATAGCAGTAAAAGGCCCGCACGCGCGCGCAGATTCAAGACGAACGGCAAGATCAAACGGGAAAACGTAAGTTTCAAGTCGTAAGTAAAACATTGGATTTCACATCGATTGGATTTCAAGCGCTTTGACTCGGCGCGACTTCCCGCGATTCGAATGCACCCGGCGCACAAAAGGCTGCACTGCACAGAGTTTACGCAACGTTATACAGACACACGACCATGAACTGAAGATTACGTTTCAGCGGAGCGATCAGATTTATTCGATTCTCCTTCTAGAACGTCTGCGTCTCGTCGGTATAATCGTTCCGTCGCACCGTCGGTATTTCAGTCTCCTGGCGTAATTGCGCGGGCGAACAATCGCGAGTACCAGAGAGAGCCGGGTATTCGCAAAGCGATCGAAATTGTTAAACGAGGATGAGGAGCGGAGCGGATGGTCACAGGGGAGAAAGAGAGAGAGGAGAAACGAAGATCACAGGTGATAAATTGTCGAAGGCAAGCCGCAACGCTAGATACACCGAGGCGCACCAATTGGAATTGGCTCGTAATTCGCGGCCATTCCGACGGATGGCTTCACCCCGATAATTACCGCTCCGTGATAAATTTATGACAGCAATAATTTACGCGGAAACTGCGGCCGATTGGTTCGATAAAGAGCGATTAACTATAAAACGAAGCTACGCGGGCCCGATGCTTCGATGGTGGTGCGCCACGAGCACCTTTCTCTCTCTTCCTCTCTGCCCCTTTTTTCGTTTCCCATTATACGCGAGTCAACTTTAAATCGAAGGGATAAGTCTGTCGTTCGCAGGATTAAACACGAGCAACGACAAGCCCGATTGGACGACTTTAAAGTCGTAACCGCGAACGTGTTCGAAAGTTTAACTTTATGCATATAGAGTGCGCCGCTTGAACGAAGATCCCGAGTCAATTCTGTTGCTGTCAAATACGAGAAAAGGTTATGTTGCCTTTCAAAAAGTCTATCCAATTGTCCTGGTGATTAGTATCTATTCGTGGATGTACTCAGAAGTCCAATACAGGAAACTAGTAACAATGGACAATCAACGAGGAAATGGAAAAGTGAGCCGAAAATATAACTGGTGCACAAAACTCGGAGGAATAGTAGAAAAAAAAAAAAAAATAGATTTCAAGAGGCTACACAGACAGCAGAATCCAGAAAAAATAAAACTTATCATAGGGAACGTAATAGAATCAAGAGAAGAGGAAAATAAAGGAACAGAGATAGAAAGAATGGGAAACTCTACACACAATACATACAATATACAAGAGACTAGAAGCACATAACCTAGAAGAAGAACAGAGGTACTTAAAGTACAAACTACCACTAACAGCAATAAGTGCAAAGGCTCAACTAAAATTCGGGAAGAAGAATATATCAGTACAAAAGAATAAAACAAACAATAACAAAAAGATGAAATATACTCAATTTGCGATATATACAGAGAAGAGGGCCCAGAGAAGAGGCCCAAACTACATAATACTAGAGTGCTTCCTATACGACCAACTAAAAAAGAAACATTTGAGTGGAATAAAAGCAATAGAAACAAGCCCTTGCAATAAAAACCAGAAAGAATATTTAAATACGTGAAAGAATCTATGAAAATAAGACCATTTTGCAGGTACGAATGAAAGAGGAGATGACCTGAATGAATTGGACTGAACAAGTACGAGAATAGTCAAGTATGTACTAATATAAGTAAAAACACTGTAGGCCCTAAGAAGTATAAAACCACATATAATATACATCATCTATGTACTATATACACATTAGATACATTATATATGTAATTTACATATATATAAATTATCATTAGGTGTACAAAAACGGGATAGTGAACATAATTAATTTATTCCCATTTTGCTAGAATTAAGCAGAAGATTAAGATAATAAGATAAAGTAACGTTTGTGAAAACGTTTGTACAAATAAAATACATCAATCAAAAAGAGAAAAAGATCAATATCCATATTCGTAAGAAATGTTAACTAATATTAATGAATCGTGAACTCTTGCAATACAGATTATTAAAGGTCAGAAACCAATGAAAATAGATCCGTGAAAATAGATACTGGATCAACATCATCTGGTGATTCTAACCAGTTAAAAAACGTGCGGTTAGTGATCAGTGATCCGTAGCCGGAGCACGAGGGGTTTTAAATAGATTATAGCCGTGAGGCGCGCATTTGATGACATAAATGCGTCATCAAACTCCTAATGAAACTAACTGCGACGCTGTTGGCAAACTGTGTCAGAACACTCTTCCAAAAGTGCGCGCTTTACATTCGAAACTCGGTATTAACAGCATTTTTCCTTTTTATCAACGTTCTTAAAGTCGTCGCTTTGTTACCTAAACTCTTAATACGTTGTGATGGGAGATTTCCTCGATGGGGCCATGGTAGTCGTCAGTGATCCAAGGTACTTTGAACAAGTTTCGAGTAAGTAAAATAAAATGAATATCGTCGACTATAAAAAATTTTTTATAATATTACGAGATAAAAATTAAATTTGCTTCAGTTGAGCATTACGTTTTTTTATCTAGTTACGATTAAACGATAAATTTGCCGAATTATTTATTTTGTTAAATTTCTATAAAATAAAAAAGATTTTATTATTACATATACGTCAGTAATATGTGTGTAGCATATATATGCTATTTATTTCTAAAAAAAAACCGTCCTACTTGACAAAACATAGTAAATCACGGTCGACATGACGATAACCATTTCAAACATGTTACTTTGTACTATTATTCGCGTTATACGAGGAAAATTCTCATACAACGCAACTTCCTACAACAAGTAATATATTATACAAGAGTCTATTCAGCAATTAAAGAAATTTGAATTAAAAAATTATACGTTGTATTACAAAAAAATTAAGTACGGTGTATCGTGTTAATACATCTTAGGCACAAATGAGGTTCACTGAGAGCATCGCGTAAATCTAGCGTAAAGCGGTCAATCTGATCTGAAATAGCCCCGCAAAGGATTCGGTTTCGAAAGCGAAACCGACCTGTTGTCAAAGGATTCGATTTACCATTTCAAACGCTCGTGCAACGCGGCAGCAACATGGAAGGAACAGAATCCGGCGTGTTCTAAGCAGGGAAGAAAAAAGCGGTAAACGCGGTTAACGCTTAAACGAGCGAAACACGTAACAACGAAAGGGATGGTAGTCGGGAGGAGGTAGTATTGGCATCGAGAGGGACTCGCCGACCGGCGCAACTCGAACGCCGCGCGCCGTCACAAATCAATAATCCTATTCGCAAGATCGTTCGCGTCCGGCGATCAATTTTCGTGTCCATTACGGCTCTACGGAGAGAGGAGCGGTATCTCTATCTGCGGCGAGGCTTGCGGCACGATATTATCGGCCGAGGCAACGCGCGATCGGTCAGAAAGAGGGGCGAGAGGTGGTCCCGGAGTGCACGCAGAACAGAAAGAGAGAGAGAGAGANGAGAGAGAGAGAGAGAGAGAGAGAGAGAGAGAGAGAGAGAGAGAGAGAGAGAGAGAGAGAAGGAGATGGAATAATTTTCGACCACGAAAAGTGAAACGTTAACGGCGGCCGATCACGAACCGCTCGTTTCCTTCGGCTGTTTTGCACTTTTGTGCATGCGAGTTTGGACTGGCAAACTGGGGGCCGGCGAGCCGCGGGACCCGGCCCCGGCAACGAGCCAGACAGAGTCCAACAGGCAACCATTTCGCAACGTTGGATCAGCCGCAGATTGCAGTCATTTTGCCCAGGCATAAATTGCACGGCCGGGTAATCGTCTCGTGCGGAGAAACGAGAGCCGTTACGCCGACGTGTATGTGCACGTCGAAAACGCCTCGGATCGGAGAGGAGGGGAGAGAAAAAAAGTCAGCCGAGTTCAAACCGCGGAGAGAATTCTCTCTCTTCGACGATGGATTCCCGGTACGCGGAAGACGATCGCTCACGGCGATCCCATGGATCACTTCCAGCCAGCCGCGCGCGGCACGATGATTGCTCGATCGGTGTCGAGATCGAGTCCGATTTCGTTTCGTGTGCCATTTCCAACGATTCTCTCGCCTCCGTGGGAGCAGCAACGAATCACCAGAGGCTGATTAATTCTCGCAGCTATGGGAAAACGATCGCACGCTCTCTCTCTCTCTCTCTCTGTCTCTATACGAACGATTCAATCCAATGTTATCACTTACATACGTGTAAACCAATTGGTTTCAAGTTTTACGCGACTTACGATGATCTGTCGACGAAAATATTATATTTCATCGCGCGCACGCGCGCAACGCGAGATTCTATAATAAATTAATGAAAACGAATCGAAACTGTGCAAACAATTGCCGCGAGGCGACGAGGCACGAGAGGAACGAAGTTTACGCCGTGACTGCCCGCGCTGAAATACGAGCGAACGTTCTAAAAGTCCGTGAAACGTTTGTATGAATATTTACGGCGTCGGGCAGATTCGTTTTCGCTAGAGCCACGATCTTTCCCAGACCTTTTACGACGAGACTTCGAGAGCTACGAACGAGCTCGCACGGCTATCAACGACAATGTACGTATTAGCAGATAAGATTATCGTGACTCGCGTTGCCCGGTGCCGGTTGATAACCGTCTGCGTAGCGTGAATTCTTACAGTGAACGTAAACATAGGTTATGTATATACGTATATGTGCATAATCTCGATGGTGATGGTCACTGGTAACAAAAAAAAAAACCGATGAACTTTACGACACGACCGTACACGCACTGAGATGGATTAAAAATTTCTTTTTCACTCTTGATTGAAACAAACACGCCAGGCGTGTTCTCAACAGAAAACAAACAGCTTTTTTTTTCTTTTTTGCAAAAACGAGCGAGAGAAATTCGCGCGTCGCGTTCACTGTAATCGGTTGATAAAACAGTTTTCGAGGTAGCGGTGAAATTAATGAAAGTATTAAGCAAATATTTATAATGCGACAAATGATACGGAACGTCGCGTCGACGCGCGCGATTACACATTCGATAAAAAGCTTCCAGCTTGCGTATTGATTGTCGACAAGGTTGACAGAGCTATCGGTGCTTCCTGTAAATGATACGTTATACAATTCTATTTTATAAATGTTTCACGACAACTGCAACGAACGAGAAAATGATCTTTTCCGCGCGCGATATGCCCTGGTTGCACGAGCAGGAAATTTCAGTAAGAACTTGTTTTTTACCAAGATAGCAAGGTAAAAATCTTAGGATACCCTTCGACCCTCGTTAACTTTAAACGTTCTCCGAGAATTTTTTGAAGCAAATTCTTTTTTCTTCCCGAAGAACCTTCTTGGAGGTTTGATTTAAAAAAAACGATTGCGTTATGATGTGGCAAAGGCTTCGTTAAGTAATCCAAAAATGTTTTACATTTTTTGGAAATATTTTTTTGAAATATTAAAGAAATTAGTTTCTTTTCTTTTCTGTACTACTCCTCTTTTTCTCTCTCTCTCTCTCTCTCTCTATGAAATTTTCAAATTAATTTATTCGTTAATTCCAAATCAATAACAATTAGTAAAAGACTTGCTCAAAAATCTCAGAACACTTTTTTACAATTGACGGATGATAAAAGTTTTTAACTGCACGCGGTACGATTAACGCTTGACAGATTCTTACATAAAGTATTGTTTCAATTTTCAGTTTCTCTAGTTCAAGAGTTCCGAACGACGGTGTGCCTAATCATTTACAAAAATAATTACCAAACCGACGAAAAGGTAAGAAATGCTCATCAATGTTTAACGAATCTCGGATATCGATAAAAAAAAAAAAAATAAAAAATAAAAAATAAAAAAAGCAGAATGATTGAAAGAAGTTGCATGGGAATGGGTTTTTCCCCGGGGCGGAAATTCACGCCGGTAATTCGAATCGGTCGCGAGACGCGATTAAACCAACACGCAAGCGCGAGCTGCAGCATTTTATTCGGTGGATTCAATTGCAACACGCGAACCAGCGGCGGGTCTCTCTCTCTCTCTCTCTCTTTCTCTCTCTCTTGCCAGAGGGAAACGCAATTCTTCGCCGGAAGAATTTAGAGAGTTGCTTAACCGTAGAAACGACATAATTCCAACGAAAATTTAACGCTTTATTTATTTCCGCCGCAAATGGAATTCCCTCCTCCACCCAATTTCCTAGTTTTTCCTTTGCCAGTCGTGGCTCAAATAAAAGAGATCTCTGGCGAGCGGCCCGAGCCAATAAACAAGGCTCACTGCCAACTTTACGACCGCGGTCCCAGGTGCTCGAGGAACCACCCTTCCGCTCCATCCTCGGAGTGTGTCAGCCTCTCTTGTTTCCAAGGAGCTTATCAATCGCTCTCGGGTGATGCAAACCGCCGTGTTCGCCGGCGGAATTACGACAAACGACCGTGCAAATCGGCCCTGATTTTCTTCCAGCAGACTTTCTTCTAGTCTCTGCCGCTGGTGTCCTATGGCGGACAGATTTTATGGACCTTTATGCGATTCGGTTAATGGCCGATGCGTATGCTATCGCGACCACAGAGAGTTTAATAGTTGTCCCTCTCGACGAGAAACATCGTCTTTCGTGGATAACGTCTGCCTTGGAGCATCTTTCTTCTCGGATCTGTGTGTGTGTATGTGTGTGTATACGCCTGAAGGAATATCGAAACGATCCCCAATGCAATCAATGGAGAGTCAGGTACAATTTAATACAATGCAACGTAATTACTGCGAGTCGGCGCTCGCACTTCGATTTTTCATTTCGCTTTGAATGCTAATGCAACGTTCTGCTCGATCTTCGGATACTACGGCACCGTGAAAAATTATAGCTACGAGCCTACGGGCGTAGCGCGTAACTTTCTGAATTTCATTTCAACAAACCATTGATATAATATCTTCATATCCTGCGCTTGCCTTATTATTAATTCTTCGCGGAATTCAAATTCCCCCCCGGGGGGGAAAAGCGAAATGTTCGCGAAAATTGATATTTTTCACGTCACCTGTGCACAACGTGAACTATAATGCAACAATTGCAACAATTTCGTTCGCGTGTTACGCGGTGTTTGATATACAGGATTGTTGCGAGAAAATTCTCCCGACGAACGACCATTCTTCGTGCAAGGGGGAAAATCAGGAACTGGAGATTAGACTGTCAGAAAATTCAAAGCTCGGACACGTTAATTAATTCAATTAGGGGGAAGGAAGCAGGAAATTGCGGCCGTTCTATTTCGCTACGTCTACGGCCGAGTAAATGGGCTCGCTGGTGAATATAAATCGCGCCTGGCATCTGTTGTTTTTTTCTTCTTTTTTTTTTTCTGCATTAACAATGGCCAGTTTTGGTCCGCGAATCGGCAGCTCGAAATATCCGAGCCAAGAGAACGAGATAATCGATCGAGGAATCGATCGGTGGTCCGCTAATTTCGCGTAATTGCTAGCAACTATCGTCTATACGGGGCAACCTGGCCAACTTTTGCCCCCCCTTCTGCCATTTTTTTTTTTTTCTTCTTTTCCTCTTCCCTGTCTTTGCACCTTTTTTCTTTCCCCTCTGGTTTCTTTCTTTCTTTCATCCAAGGATCACCGCCCGTGGATGCGGTGATTACGCCTGGATAAAAAACACGACCGAGCCAGAACGATAGAGGGGTATAATTATTATTGAAACCGGGTAGCAGCGGCACATTAATTAACCAGCAACTTCCCGTTACCGCGATTCTCTTTCCTCCTCCTCCCCCCCCCCCCCCCCCGCAACATTATTCGACGAAATCTGTCGACCATCAAGCGACGATCTTAAAGAAACCGTACGTAATAGAGAATTTTTTTCGTTAAGAATTTTAGGTTAGGAATTTTTTTTTTTAAATTTATCACCACGTTTTCAACCTGTGACAATTTTTGTACGTAATATAATATTGGGTCGAGTAAAAGTAATTTCTCCCGATAGCATAGCTCTGGTTTAATATTAATTTTGGCTTCAATACTCGCGTTTGAAAGATTGACACGTCATAGAGTGATTGAAAAAAAGCAAAAAGTTGTGACATTTATGTTTATTCAACGAAAAGGTCGATATATAATGGTAAAATACAATTTCCTCGCGAGAAACTCGCCTTTTCGTTGCATGCTGATAGAACGAAGGAAAAAATCGAGGAAAGAAGTAGAAAAAGACAGCGCTGGGAATGATTCCGATCCCGATTCCCTCCGAGTTCGTTTGCAAGTCCGCAGCCGAGTATCTTTGTTTGCGGGCCTTGGTAAATCTGTGTATTATTAGCTAGCGTTATTGATTTATTATTTAATGGTCGACGGCCGCGCAAGCGCAGGCTAAATCGGGGTTAACTGCTCATTTTGTCGGCGGTGCATTATGGTTTCTGCGTTTATGGCCCTCGCGGGAAAAGGAGCACGTGAAAGACTGCGGAGGGAAGAATGGAGAGCTCTCTGCGAGTAACTCCATTCCTTCTCCACCCTCTTTCCGACTATTTTCCGCCGTGCAAATAATATCCGCGTCGTTTTGAATATACCGTGTTTCTCGCGTGACCATTCCTATTTTCGACAATTTCCTCGCTTACCGGAACAAATGTTTAAAAAAACAGGAGCGTCAAATTATCCTTCGCTTAACCTCGAATTATTACATTTTAATCCCACGCTCATTGTCAGTTTAGCAAACAAAAAATGATCTGCAATACTCGACACGAAACTTAATCGAAAATCATTTTTCGCGTTCCATTTGAACTTTAGATATCTTTTTTTTTTTTTTAATTCTAGAGAAATATACACGAGTCGAAAATGATCGAAAGAAAGTTGAATTCTTCGGAACGAAGCAAGAAAATAACTTTTCATACGTTTCCTCTCGAAGGAAACTTGACAGCTGAGAGTTTTAATCAAAACGATTTATACGCTGTGACGTAACATTAAACTAAGTATAGATTGATTCGAACAGAATAGGAGAGTTAATATTCAACAGGTTTTATCGAGAAACCGTGTGCATTATAAATACGTAACATCGTGTGCGTTCGACACGTGTAAAATGAGCGTATACAATGTATCTGTTTTACATAGTAAGTATATTACTTATTATTTCTATCGGATGTGTTTATCGGAAATATGAAAAAATGTTTCGTACAAGATTTCGCGTTTATCATTAACCTTGTGTCGACGTCGGAGGATCGCTGCGAGCGTTAGCTGCGAATTTTAAACGTAATCTTGCGCAAGAGCGTGCAATAAAGAGTAAAATGCAACTTTCATCTGAAAATTTCCCATTGCCACACACAAAGAAGATCCATAAATTAAAACGGCTCGCGAGACTTAAAAAGGAGCGCTGAAAATGAAAAAAAAATTGACTTTATTATATTTATTAAGATAAGGAGCGTTAATTGCGGTAATTAGCGCTGGTATGAATAATATTACGGCCTGATGTATCAGGGATTGTTAAAAGTAACACAGAAGCTATTTCAAGCGCCATTCACGAGGCAATGCTTAAGAGTCAGAGTGAGTGTGTGTGTGTGTGAGAGAGAGAGGATGGATTCCGCTCCAGTTCGTTTCCATTAGCTCTTTTTTAAACAAGATGTAACAACTTTTCTTTTTATCTATATTATGCATCTTATTGTTACTTTATAGCAACGCGTTATTTACATTGTTAGTAACGCGAGGTTAAGAGGAACACGAAGCCAAGGGGCCCGCAAACGACGAGGGTGAGAATCAAGGTCTTTAGAACTAGCTTCACTCTCCCTCTCTCTCTCTCTCTCTCTCTCTCTCTCTCTCTCTCTCTCTCTCTCTCTCCCTTCTTCTGTTTTCCTCGTCTTGTAACGTCACGCTAAAAATATTATTACGGCAGTCTGTATATCAGCTAACGCTCATTACAGTATCAGGTTGCATAATTCATTGCGCGATTCGCTAACGCTTTCCCCCGCGAAATTGTGCTAATAATTCGAAAATAATATTCCCCGCGTGACGTGTGCGCGTTATTATATATCAGGCAGCAGCCGGCAGCTATTATAAAAGCGCCGCCCGTGAAGTAATTGAACTGTCGCGGATCTATGAAGTTGGCCAAGTTCATTTGCATTCGGCCGGGCGCGGACGTTGAAATGTGGCCGTTGAAACCGGGAAACGACAACTTGACAACGTTACAAATTTAATTCCTCGATGACGGCCCGGAAAATTTTAGAACGTAATAAATTCGCGGCACACCGGCGCCTTGATTTAATGCAACGTGTTGCGGATTTTCTTCCAACGTGTAAAACGTGTTCGCGCCGCTAACGTGATTCCGAGATAGCCTTTGACACGTGTATATTTATGCGTGACGGGATATTACGGACATACGAATCCGTTGAGATCCAATTCAGCGTGATAAAGTGGAGAAGACTTTACGTTTTTTGTTAAAATGTATCCTCAAGTGGAAGAATTGCCTATAATTTTAACTTTGTTAAAAAGAAAAAAAAGTCGCGCAACAATTTTTGTTGACTTCATTTTGAAATAGAGATCGGTTGAAATAAAGAGGTCTAATTGTAAAGGAGAAGTTCGGGAGAATGATTCGAAACGAAGATATTTATAAAGAGTTCTTCGGGAAACAAGTTTCTTGGAATCAAAGGATCGGAGTAAAAAAACTTGGAGTTACTGTCTTTAGGAAAAGTATTTGTATAAACAATCATATAAAATTATATTTTCTAATAGAAAAAAGCAAATAAAAAGAAAGAAGTTGTTATTTTTTCGCCATTCTCTAATATGCGCTGATTATTTTACATTTTTTTGAACCTCGAACGTTGGACTTGAATGGCAAAATGAGGATTTCTTGAATTTTCATTTAACTCTGATGCTCAAGGTTCTTCGATTTTTGAGGTTATGGTAGTGGAAAAAAACTTTTTCGGTGACCTTGGAGGCTAAATTTTTACAGCTCGCTTTTCCATCTACGAGAAATGTCTTTTGGAAACAAAGAACTCAAATAATCGATAAAGTAGAAGTTTTTACAGTTTAAAACGAGGCCAGCTGGATTGTTGCACGATTTTGTTTCGCTAGAACCAAAGGAATTTATAATTTTCTATGGAAACTTTATAAATAATATTTGTATATTTTACATACTTGACTAATTTTTAATAAAATTCACAGAAGCTCGTGCTCTTTATTACATTATTAACTTTTTCTTGTACTTTAATTAAACATGTTGTACCTTAATTGCACTTTAATTTCTCTGCAACAAATGTTATACTTTTAATCGTCGAATTCTAGTATCAAATAGTTTAAAATGTCACTAATAATATTCACATCGAGTGTGCGAGCACTCTTGTCCACTTTTTCCGTCCGCTGTTCAATTCTATTCACAGAACGAGTGCAACGCAAACAATTTTGTCAACTGACAACAAAACCGACAAAATTAGTCACTCTTATACTTAAAAAAGAAAAAGAATTCTCGCTTAACTTTCCCAACGGATGAAGATTAAATAGCCGCGCGGTTCGACAAACATCCGAAATGAAATTTTTCGGCCGCGACCACGCGATTTCGCTAAAGCCAAGTCGCGTCTGCTCGAAAGAGAGAGAAAGAGTCGGGAGAAATTCAGCGGGAGAAACGGTTTGTTACCCGAAGTGGAGAGAACAATCGGCGAGGCTATAAGAGAAACCAGAGTTCGCGGGGTTTAATGGGGATCCCCATCCGTCCCAATTCCGATACAATGTGCTCCGTGGAGCAAAGGGGGGCAGAGACTGGGATGATGGGAAAACATCGGATCTGGCAATCAGCTCGGATCGCCGGAGAGGAAGATCGGGAGTAAGGGAATTCGCGATAAACCGAACGAAAGAAGCGGCCACGAGGGAACAATCGATCGTGTTTGTCGCTCGTGGCTGGCCACCACCCTCGTCGTCGCTCGAATGAGATTTTATTAAAATCGCCGCGATATTAACAGGCGCCGCGAACGAAATTACACGGCCCGGCGTCTGCGTTATCCGCGCGATACGCCGTTTATTAATACACTTGGCAATTATTGCCGTCCCTCCGCGATTTTCAGCCCTGCCCAGGTTATTAATTTCGTAATTACATCACCGAATTTTCGAATCCGGGCCGAATTAGACGGCAATTGTCGCTCGTTTTATCGTCCGCTGGCGTGTTTCTCGCTTCTGTTTTAACAGGTTTAACAGAGCTAGATACATACATACGTGGAGCGAGTATCGCATGTATCGCGTCATCGAATATCTGTAATTTCAGCGGGAAATATCGGATTTACTCGCCGATCGCAACATTACGCATTTACTCGCTGCTTTCACTCGCAGCTGTTCATCCGTTCGCCTTTCACCCGCGCGCCTCGAGCAATAATTCAACGTCGCGTCTGGTGACCACTTCTGCAACCACGTTAACTCGATTCGAAAATCTGTCTGAAAAAAACATTAATTACAGAACGTCGGTAGACAGAGGCGTGTGTTTGCACACCTCTCGGAAAACACGCTGAAACCGTGAAAAATGCTTTTTACGTTTACGAGAACACGACGCGGCCGAGCGAACGTTGGAATCGCGTTGCAAGTTGGCCGACCATCTGCGCCAATAAATTCTTCAACGACCACCGCTGATCACGCTGTCTCGTCGATGGACGAGCAATGATTTACCGTACTGACGCGATCAACAAGCGAATCAAAGCAATCGTTTCGAAGCAATCGGGGGTTCAAAGAACCTATGCGCGGGCATACATCATAAGCCGGCCGACGACCGGCCATCAGCTTATGCTTTTTCGCTACGATTCTCTACGCTATATCACTGGCCGGAGAGTTGGCGTTGAATTATTGCAAGAAAAAGTGTCGTATAAGCTACTAATGACACGCGTTTTATTTGCATACGCGCGTACTTGTATACACCAGCCCGGGAAGAGGTTTATGATTCATCTCTCTAGGCACTTGCACTTTTTTTGTCGCTTTGTATACTTTATTAGCCGGAACGCCGCATTATCACCGCGATGGAAGGAGCGAACGAGCAACGCGTTTGTAAATCTGAGCTACCTCTGTCTCGCAAAAGCGTGAGATTTTTTTTTGTTTTTTTCTTCCATTTTCGAACAGAAAATTCCATCTGTCGCGTAATCGTGGCTTTAAGGGTATTCCCGTGTGAAATGAGATTTTAATTTTATAGGTATAGATTGATGAAAGTGTTTAACGACGGAGATTCTGTGTTCAATGTTGAAAACTTTTGGTATTCTTCTGTTTCGTTCAAGCTGGAGAATTTGCCAAGCAACGTCAATCGTGTCAATTCCACACGTGTCTAGAACGTTGAAGGTTTTCGATAATATCGAGAACCTTGATCTGGTAAACGTATTTTCGAAAATGGTCAAAAGAACGAGAACTAGACCAGGATTTCTCAAACCTTTCCCCTTTACCTGAGCGATATTTTCTATATTAAATACGAATTAAAACATTTGCTGATAATGAGTCACAAAGAAAATTTATTCGAAAACAATTCTTACATAATTTTGCCATGCATTAGAGCCAAATATTCGTACTAATTTTTTTGGCTTTGCTGAAATTTCCCGAAATTTAGTTTTACGCGACATTTTCTGAAGCCCTAGAATTAGGCCATGACTCAACGCTCGAGAGTGCATAGCATTCTTGCGCCAAGGTTACTCAAAAAAAAAAAAAAAAAAAAAAAAAAAAAAAAAAAAGGGAAAAAA